TCATAGTACAGATGGGTTCTTAGTGAACTACCAGATCAAAATACTGGTAGGGCTTAAGGACACCAGGTATATTAGGTGCAACAGATTTGCAGGGACATTCTGGGACAATTCCAAGAGCAAGACAGTGCAGACAGATTATTAAGAACAGTTCTGAGGAAGTCTTGGATGAAGTTCAAATCACTGAAATGACTAATGCATTTCAGATTTGGCACAGAAGCAGCAGTAAGCCCTCATTTCCAGCAGAAGGGCACCAACCATTAAACAGTGAGTTCTCTTTGACACATCACTTTTTACCAACTTCACTGTTGCAGGAATTTAATCACTGGTTACGTTTACTATCAAGGCAAATGGTTATGTGAGGTTTGGGCACAGATAAGATGATTTGTTTCTTATGTCCAAAATATGTTTGCTACAGGCTGGGTTTGCTGCTAAGTAGACAAACCACATCTGAAGCACTAATGCTCTCATAAATGGACTTCTGCTTTCTGATCATTTCTTTTAAGCACAGCTTCTATTCAGCATCAAAAAATATTAGCACTTTTCAGAGAAACTAGATCCCTCAGCTTTGACACATGATTTAGCACCCTGATCATTACACAACACATGGTTTCAAAGTGTCTTTTGCAGATTTAAACATGTGATGTTACTTGAACTACACTCTTTTTCCCAGACCACCCTGAGAATTTCATTGAACATATTTTCAGTCAGGTTTCCTGACATTTGAGTATAGTTTTCTCAAATAGCAGGAACTATTGAAACACTACATGAAACAGCATTATGCAGTGTGGACTAAGCAGGTGCAACTTTCCTGGTCTATATACAGAGGTCTTGTGAAGTCACAAATATTTGAAATGGATGTGTCTTACCCCATTTTTGACATTTGGCGATAATCTGAAAGCAAGCATAGCACAAATGCCATGACTGCTGGGGAGAAAAGAGTTCCTTTCTGCCCTTTTAATTTCTTCCTTTGGTATCCTGAGATATTTATGGGAAGCAAACTCTTCACAGAGATAGATCAAGCACTTGCTTATATCAGGATGGAGTTTTCCATGGGCAAAGGAGTGGGTGAGGGAGTTTAGTTAACTGTGGGGTGCCTCCTTTGATCCAGCTCACCACAGGCCCACATAAGTGCTAGTAACAACACTTGGGAGGGCTGTGGCAGTCAAAGACTGAGCCCACAGGACAGCATGACAGCTCCACTTTCAGCAGCAGATTGGATTCCTACCAGATTCAAATGATCCTGGAGGTATGGCATGAGTAATACTCATGGCTGACAGCCACTAGAAAAGCGAAATCAGCACAGCCTGTGCATACTGCTGAATCAACTCCTTCCTTACAGCTTCAGAAACACAAAGCTTCACTGCCTGCCAGCAAAGAGAAAGAGTAAATGTGGATCAGAAACTTCAGCCTGTGAGAGGATGAAGGAACTGAAGCTCTCTGGTCTCCCCCAGGAGAGGAATATAAGGGTTGGTGGGAACAGAGCCCTTTTGTTGATGGACAAGCATGTTCCTGCACTGGATATCTTGATTGTTCATCCCTCCAGTGGCAAGATTTGTGGATTCACAGCACTGTACAACTTCAAGCAACCTTGCTTCTGCCAGGGTGGCATTGCCTCATGGCACACACCTACCCCTTGGCAGTGGTCTGTCTTGAGCTATCTGAAAGCCAGCTGCATACTTCACAGCTGTGAAATGGGGTTTTCCAGCAAAAGCTTTGTTCCATGAAGCCACATATTCATGTCAGCTTTGCTCACTATGGCCAGATAAAGGAAACAATGAGGCTTCCAAAAAAATCCCTTTTCCTGGGAGTGCATTGCTCCCACCAATTTCAGTAACACAGCCTGGGCTAAATAAAAGGCATAATTTATTCCTACCTATCCTAATTTGGTCAGGTACTATTTCCAAAGCTGTTCCAAAGTATATAGGTTGAGGGTACCTGCCAAAACATCAACCCCTTTCACCTTGTTATTGCTCCCTGGTGTCCCCTTGTTTCAGGAGGAGTAGGTTAGGAAGAGTCCACGGCACAACCTTAACCAGCTGAGGTGGGGATACGATGCCCTGGGGGCTAGCTCCAGTCACCCAAGCTTTCCTGCAGGCATTAACACTAATTGGCTATGAAAATGAAAAACGTAACTATTGTGAAATATAGCATAGTGAGACGAGCAAACCACCATGGGCTGCTTCAAACCCGCTGCTGCAGATCTACAGAATAAAAGCAAATCTCACCTTGTGGGTGAAAGGATGTAATGGTATCACTCTTAGTGGTATTTTACTAGACCAAGAGTTCTGTGTTGCAAAGGCTTGGCTGGAAGACATATGCTTGCTTTTTTTGGAGGCTAAGATCTGGTTTAAAATCATACATGAATTGAAAGCTGCACAATGTATTAAACACAAAATTCTGAGGCACAGAACAACACGTTGTTAGTTTGCAATCATGTGTGTCATATTAAGGTCTAATCTCAGCTCATTATACCTTTCTTCAAGCAAGGCATAGATCATGGATCTATGACTGTGAAACTTTGACAAAAATTGGGATTTGAGTCATAAAGGTAAATTTTACCTATCAAAATAAGCTCTGGCACTTTTGAAACATGATTGCCTGACCCTTAGAAATACATTTTTTTACTATAAAACGTGTTTTCTACTCACGCTGTTTTATCCTCTTCTGCTGTTTGTCAATAAGGCACTTATCACTATCACCAGTATGAATCCAGGTTGACCTGTTTGTTTCTCAATGGGAGGGCTGTCATTGCAGGCAGATGATATGAGATGATTCATGATTCACGTAAGATGTTATGGGGTTCATAAGATAGCAATCAAATCAATGAAATCATCATCTGGTTAAAGCAGAAAGCAAATCATATGTGAAATAGATTTTAAGCCAGAAGAAAGAAAATCCAGTGCTGTCATCACCCCAGTGCTCTATCACCTGCACAGAAACCGTGCATCTTGCCCTGGATCTTATTGCCACCCACCTCATAAAATCATGTGCCTGCTGACCAGTGCCATCATAATGCAGAATTTGAATATACAACAGCAGAATGTGCAGAGAAAACAACTAAAGGCTTTGGAAGTTTTTTGGACTGGATTTCAGGGGCAGCAGAAGGTCTTCATTCATGAGGGAAGTGTTCTTTGATAAAAATAGCTTTATATCTCTGGAGTTTTCTTCCTAGCTGCATAACTATTTCTCTGCTGTTGAGGACTGTTACTGTTCCATGAGGAATCCAAAATCTGGGTAGTGGGTTTTAATTGTGGGAGAACTACCACGTAATACAGTAGCAGCTATTTTTACAATGCTTTGGTGTCATTTTTCTTTTCCCAAAGGGTGTCACAGGATGATTGCGAGGCTGGAATTTTCCCAGATAATGTAAAAGCCCTGACAAAATAACAGAGGATCAACATAGTGAGAAGCACTGAGACCCTGACCACAATGTCTGACCAGAATTGGATCCAGTTCATGCTCCTCCACTCCCTTCCAAGCTCCTCCTGTGCCTGGCTATGGGTCCACAATGAAGCACCAGATCTCAGTCCTCCCAGGTCATCTAGATATAAACATTTCATCTGGATAAAGTGTGTGCAACCCTTCTTCCTACACACAAACACATTATTTGGTGTTCCTTAATGTTATCCTTTCAAGGTAGCAACCACTGGATGGACAGTGCCAGAGCCACATAAGACTAACTGATGGGGAGATAAGCCAACACAATCAACTCAACAAATTGATACTAGCAAAATGAGTTTATTCACTAGTAAGGTTAATCACTATTTTGCACTATGTTTTTCTAGTACCTCTTGATCTGGTAGGAAGAGCCTGAAAGGGGGAGTTGATGTATTGGTGAGCACCAACATCAAGCAAATTACTGCAGTGCTCAAGTCATTAATAAACTGTCTGGACCCCAATATGCCAGAAGTGCAGAACAGAGACCTTCATTTTGTCCCTTCAAGGAATCAGAATTAGCTTGTCAAAGTTTATTAGCCTGGATGACATTGAAAAGTGGCTGAGTGGCCTTGGAAAACTCATAGTGAATTACATATCACAAAGCCAGACTTCATAAATACTGCTAGATTAAAAGTTGTGATGCACGGGTCTGCTCTGGGGTTTCTGCACCCATGGCTGGCTAACTGAAAGTCTAGATAAATGATGTGTAGATAAAGGCAGGTGAGGTCAGAAATACTTCATTTATCTGCAATCTCTACCTTCCTATTCATCAATTTCTTGGTAATTCTCTCCCTTCTCCAGTTTAGTGCATTTCTAGTACAGGATTGTGGAGCACAGTGCAATGTCTTTGGCATACTGGAGAAAGAAAGGGAAAAGCCAGCCATGCTTCCTGTACAGACATGTTTTTCCTTAAAAAACGAAGAGGATTATTTTTGTATGTGCTGTGTTCTTTTTGTCTACATTCTTCTGGAAGGAGAGATCAAACCTACGGGCCAGATGCTGCCTGCAAGCCTCTAGCATCTCCACTCCATAAGATGTAAAAGTGTGGAAAGCAAAAAACTTACTAAGATTTGGGTGCTGAAACAAATCCCTCTACATCCCACAGTAAAGACTGTTTAAATTCCTGCACTGATTTTGCATTGGCAGCAATGAGGGCTGTTTCCTCTAAAGTTTTGCCCTGCAAATGGCAGCTATCATCCAGCCAGACCTCATGTCCTTACATTACCTCAAAGCACACTCTCAGTGCTTCATGGCACCATGCAGCACCATGAGTGACAACGCCAGAAACAAGACAGGCAGCAGATGCAGCTCTGCATTGAGCCACTTCTCCCAGACTCATTTGCTTGGGTCCTGTGCCATACCAATGTGGTGACACTCTTTCTGTTCCTGGAGAAACCTCATCCAATGCCAGCCCAGAAATCTGGCACTGAATCTCAGATCTGTATGAACTGTGTTATTTATGAATGGCAGTTATCAGTCCATATTTCTAAATCCCTTTACTACTAATTTATTGGCTGAAAACTAGGAAGTTTTAACCATAAGTGGCAGTAGAAGGGCTGAAGTTGTGCTCACGTCTCTGAACCTGGAGCTTCATGCACATGGTGAAGTTTCTTGTCTGTTAATTTCTCTCATATTTCTTCTTCACCTCTTCTTTCTTCTTCCAGCATATGCAGATCTCATATAGGCAGAAAGCCACCTGCAAGAGACACCAGTGTCATTTGTTCATGGAGCTTGGGAGGCTGGCTGTTTGATCTGCTTCTAGACACAGCACCAGGCACCAGTATGATCACTGAAAACTGGTACCAGCCTGGTGTATCTTAGCAGCTCATATTACTTATCTCCAGGGTTTTCACAGCACACATTCATTTTTACCAAGACAGATTATTTTCTCCACAACCACTGAAAATGTGTCTGTGCCCAGTGATGCTCAGTGCCATTATACCACTTAACACGCCTCTTAGTGGGGTTTGGCAGCAGTAAAGGCCTCAAAGCTGAAGGAATATACTTAGAACATTGCTTGTGTGAGAGCCTCACTGGTTTACTGCCTCTCTGAGGAAATCAGTGACCATACAACATGCCCAGATGGAGGAGCAGTCTTGAGGAGGACTCTGTCACCAAGGTTTTCTTCCCCTGATGACAGTAACATGATTCATGTGCCCTTGGACCTGAGAAAAAACAACCTTGTGAAAACCTCCCAGAAATTCGGAAGTGGTGACAATTCAGAAGTTTTGCTGCATTGAATGCCAGTGCAGCAAACTCATCTCCATAAAATGTTCCACCTTTGCAATATTTCAGCTACATGCTACTAGAAAGCATCAACCATGCATCACCAGAAACAGGCTTCCCATTCCTCAGCTGCAAAGACAAAAGTAGGTAACTTGTGTGTGATTTATGGGCAAAACTCATCTAGTTAGAGTACAGCACACACCCTGTGCCAGCAGCAGTAAATCCAAACCCTCCGTGCTCTCAAGGGAATGTTTGATGCAGTAGCCTGAAAAACATGTGTAATGTCTTTGAAAATCCTGTGGTTTAGGGTTGGTAGAAAGGTTCTCATCACCATCCTGTATGCCTGCCTGCCTACCTGTGCTGAAAGACTACGACAACAGCAACAACTGCAAAACTTCCCTGGAATCAGACTTTACATCAGACTACCCAAATCACTTTTGCATATAGTCAGAAGGTTAAAAAGCTTTGTACATAAACATTTATCAGAGTGGGGGAGAAAAAAGAGAAGTGGTTATATCTAGCATGGAAAATGACACTTTAATTGGAGGAATGAGATGTTTAGTGTCATTCCAGAACTTTGGAAGTAAAATGGCTATGAACAGGCAAGAGGCTGAAGAGGGTAGTGAAAAGTACTCGGGAAAAGGAGGAATTCAACTGCCTGACATCAGTTACTCGGGAAAAGGAGGAATTCAACTGCCTGACATCAGTATCAAACTCTGTCCACTTTTATTTATAGAAATGGGTTTAAAAACTGTTCAGCCCTGAATAGGAAAAGGATCCCTTGCCATCTAACCCTCACAAAGGGCAGAGGGAAGCAAGGGAGGTGAATGACTTTCCCAAAGTCAAGGGAAGCAAGGGAGGTGAATGACTTTCCCAAAGTCAAGCTGTGTGATAGCAGAAGAGTTAAAGGGAAAGCAGATCCCCATGACGCAGTGCTGAGCATCATGACCTCCACCACCTCCAGCAGCCAGGCTGCAGCAGGGAAGGTCATCCTCGGGATGAACAGGCAGCAGGGCAGCTGTCTCCCATCCTCCCCAGATGAAAAGTCTGACCCTGCTGGGTTCAGAGGCTGCTGCCTTTGCTTCTGGTCCAGCAGTGAGAGTTTCTCCCTCTGCACAAAGCAGACTCTTCCAGGTACTCCTGGGAAGATAAAATAGACATCACTCTATAAAGTAATGGCATTTGCCCCCAGCCAGGGCAATAAAATCACCTCTGCAGAGGAGAAAAATTCAACCCCTCTCAGAAATCTGGGAGATGGCAGGTGTCAGCCTCTTTAATAGGAGTAATAAAAATAATTACTTCTGTTAATATTAGGTATCTGATTTCCAGTGTTGAACAGGAAAAGTGCAATACCTGCCATTTTAAATTAGTCTGTCATGTTTTCATTCCTTTCTCACCCCTGGGATTTCAAAAATCTTGATGAAATATGTGTTCACTCTTCAAATATTTCCTGAGGCCAGTGAGGTCCATATGTTCTTAGGAACAAGTTTTTCACTCTGTGGGTTGTTCCTCATGACATTTAAGTTTTCTGTTTTGTATATATCAGCAGCACAAAGCTAGAAGATGATGGGGTTTTCCCATCACAAATATAATGCTATATTTATAATGCAGTTTAAGGGCAGCAAGAAGGTAATATAATATTTTATACAGATTAGGCAGAAGACTTCAGTGTTTGCATTATGATTGCAGCCATGGCTCCTAAATTGCAGTGTCATTGTCAAGGTAAGAATGATATTTTGTTTAAACCGCTGCTGAACATATGGTGTTATTTATGCCCCAGACATCCACAGAAGAAAGAATTTTCTAAGCCTAATTTAAGCTGTTAGCGAGTAGACAGCAAAAAGATGAGACCTCACTGTTTTTACTAGCTAACAGCTCTGGTTTAGATTAAAATAGTTAAGGGATGTATTTTTTTTTAAGGAAAAAAATTCTGCACGGATTTGTACAAAAACCATGACTAATGAAGGCGTAGATCTGTATCCTTACTCTGCTGTCAGATCTTGCCCATGACATCATCTCAGGTTGTCCTCAGCTACCCGTGTATATCACATCCAATGACCTTTCACTCTATCAGTGTTTTTTGATGAAAGTATAATTTGAAGAGGTTGGGGAAGGTTATGTGTGATAGGGAATGAATATGTCTCTGTTTTTTAGTTTTTAAGAAAAACAGGAACAGGGAGAGTACTTTTAAAAAAGGGCTTATTTCTAAAACAATTGAATATATTTATAGAATTGAATTCTAAAACAATTTGAATATATTTTAGCTCTTTTCTCTCCTCACCTTCCCAGTACCAAGTAAGGACAAAGGGGAAAAGGTGAAAGCCGCTGTGCCACAAGAAAGTGATGACCTGCTTGTCGTAACTGACACTTGGTGGGATGGATCCCATGACTGGAATGCGGCTTTTGATAGCTACAGGAAGGACAGGAGAGGAAGGAGGGGAGAATGGGTTGCCCTCTGCATCCAGAACTGGATAGAGTGTGAAGAGCTGCCTCTGAAGAGCAGCAGACTCTGAAAAAGTTTATGGATGAGAGACAGAGACCGAGGCAACAAAAGAAACCTTGTGTCTGTCTACTACAGGGCAAGAGTGCAAGAGCTCTCAACAAGAGCTCTCAGTCCCCATGCACAAGAAATTGGGCGAGAATGGCAACAGACCGGCATGGCTGAGTGGAGACCTGCTGGCCAAAATAAAGGGAAAAAAGCAAATGTGCAGGCAGGGGAAGCAGGGACAGGCACTCTGGGACAAGTATAGGGGTGCTGCTCAGTTGTGCAGGGTTAGGGTCAGGGAGGCCTAGGTGCAGCTGGGGTTGAACTTGGAAAGGGATGGCAAGGAATAACGAGAGGGGATCCCACAGATATGTTAACCAGAAAAGGAGGATCAAAGAAAGTGTACCCCCAAGGTGGACAAGACTGACAAACTGGTAACAATTGTCAAGGAGAAGGCAGAAGTACAAACCAATTATTTTTACTTCAATGTCCAGTTGCAGACAAAGTCCCTCAGGGACTCATACTGGGACCAGTACTGTTTAATATCTTCAACAGTGACATAGACAATGGCATTGAGTGCACCCTCACCAAGTTTGAGACTACATCAAGCTGAGTGATGTGATTGACATGTCTGAAGGACAGAATGCCATCCAGAGGGACCTGGAGAAGCCCAAGCAGTGGGCTCCTGGGAACTCCTTGAGGTTCAACTAAGCCAAGTTCCGGGTGCTGCACCTGGGTTAAAGCAATCCCAAACAGAAACACAGGCTGGCCATAGAATGAATTGAGAGCAGCCTTACTAAGGACTTGGAAATACTGGTGAACAAAAAGCTGGACATGACCTGGCAATGTGAGCTTGCAGTGCAAAAAAGCCACCTGTGCCCTGGGCTGCATCCATAGCAGCGTGGCCAGTGGGTCAAGGGAGGTGATTCAGCCTTTCTACGCTGCTCTGGTGAGACCCCACCTGGAGTATTTTGTCCAGCTTTGGAGCCCTCAGCACAGGAAAGACATGGACCTCTTGGAAAAGATCCAAATGTGAGCCATGAAGATGATCAGAGGGCTGGAACGCCTCTCCTATGAAAACAGGCTGATAGAGGTGGGATTAGTCAGCCTGGAAAAAAAAAAATTTCCTGCCTTTCAATATTTGAAAACAGCTTATAAGAAAGATGGAGACAAACTTCTTAGCAGGGCCTGTTGCCATAGGACACGGGGCAATGGTTTTAAACTAAAAAATGGGTATATTTAGAGAAGATATAAAGATGATGTTTTTTTTATGATGAGAGAGGTGAAGCATTGGCACACATTGCCCAGAGGAGAAGGGGAGGTCCAGGCTGCTCAGAAGTTGCCAGAGGAAGTTCAGGTTGGACATCAAGAAGAATTTCTTCACAGAAATGGTTGTTAAACACTGGAATGTACAACCCAGCAAGGTAGTGAAGTCATCATCCCCAGAGTTGTTCAAGGAACAACTGGACATAGCACTCAGTGCTGTGGTCTAGTAGACCAGGTGGTGATCAGTCAAAGGCTGGACTTGAGGTCTTTTCCTAAATGATTCTGTGATTCATAGAGGTGGTACATGCCTCATGCCTGGAAACCTCCAATGACAGGGACGGAGATGGGGCCCTGAGCAAACTGATCTAGTTGCAGGTGTCCATGCTAATTGCAGAGAGGTTAACCTAGATAACTTCTAAAGGTCCTTTTCAACCCAAGTTATTCTGTAATTCTGTGTTTCTATGACTTGAGCCTGAGTATTTCATCTTAATGCACTTCTTAACTCAACTTTGTAGATGACCTTTAGAGCTACAAAAGCTCACCTCATTCAAAGCTTGATCCAGCTACTTGTTTCCTACCAGAAAAAGAGATTTAAGTGTTAGCACTTGATCATATTAGAGAGCTAGGTAGGGATCTGCAATGCAACAGACTATGCAGAAACTAGAGGAAAGCTTTATACAAAATTGTGATATTAATCATTCAAAGGGAGATGCTAAAGG